TATCAAATGAAAGTCAATATATGATGCGAAAAAGAATGAAAAAAAAATTCAACAACACATACAATTCCTGCAAACATTTAAACTACCAAAATTTATTGGCGTAATGGCTTAGGAGCATGCAAATGTTCACATCAGCATTCATTTCTTTATTGTTGCGATCAAATACCATTTTATTTTTAACATTTTGAACCAACTTATCAGATTGATGTAAATATTTGCAAAGAATGTTCAACATGAATAAAATGAAAAACCATATAAAAAAACATGTACTATATATAAGTAGAAAATTGAACGTCTTTGTTTTGCGAATAATGGGTATAACTGGTACATTTTATGGTTGATACACTGATTTTACCGGGTAAGTAATTGCATTTATTCAACTGCATCGATTCCATTAAAACATTTTAATCCATTGTGAAATTGAATGATTAAATGACCGGCCATTTCACGAAAATTAACACGGTATTTGAAGTGGCCTCCGCTTAGGTAAAATCAAGGTCGTCATCATTGATTGCGATGACAAAAGATTCAACTTTTTTTTATGAAAATTTTACTTTGATTATCATCAAGGAAAATTCGTTTTATTGCCGCATCTTGATCACCGAGAAAATGGAATAACTGACAAACTGAGACAAAGTGAAAAACAGACAACTTAACAGTTTCTTCATTGGAATTCAACATTTTGTTAAATTCAGTGATTGCATTTGGCAGTAAATTTTTTCAAAGATAATGTAAACTTCTACATAAAACAAAGCGAACATAATACACATAAATTAAAATACAATGAATCCCAGAAACTTGAAGAAATAAATTTTAATGTTGAAATTGAGTGCGTAGTTTTCATGGGTGGGTATCAGTACCATGGTTTTTAAAAGACTTCAAACGTGGTAATTTTTTTTTCTGATATTTTTTAAATTTCATTCTCTATTTCTTCTTCTGTTTCGCCTATTCCATGCATGTAAACGATACCGTGATATCTAAAATGAGAGATTAAATAAAAACGTAGTTTGTTGGGAATTTATTTTATTGTTTCAATTACAAGCTAAAAATCACCTTGGTTGTGGCTTTGTGCCAAAATAATACCGTACTGTGTTATTTTTGCAATGTTCTTTTGCTTTCAATTCCTCCATACTTGCGCACGGGTATCCAGCAATCCGTTCTTCCATATTGATAATGCGTAGATAGAAATTAACTGCTTTTAAATGTGAACATATCCAGTCTAGGCATGGGAACTGGAACTTTCACCATTTATGTAGAAATCAGAGTGTCCGATGAATTCGAACATACCTATGTGAAGTATAAAATTTGATTAATTTCTATTTTTGTCATTTGTTTTACGAGTAAAAGTGGGAATCGGATAAAATAAATAATGTCCGTTTATATATCCGCAAATATTGTCGTCTCAAAACTTGCGGGCAAACGTACAGTCAATAGTTTTGGTCCACATTTGTCCAATTCCCATTTTTACATACGAGAGAGTAAGAAAATAAAAGGCGATTTTACCGAAGCTACCCCCATTTGTATGGATGTTTTCGACCCATTCTGCATCCGTATCGCAGATTCTTTCACATGCCTTGTTATTGAAACACGGGCCGGCTGGATCTAACGCTGTTATCCAAGGCAATTTTAATCCACTATCTTGCAAATATTTGCCTGTAAATCCGGCCACATATGCACCAAGGCTGTGACCTATTATTTGTATTTTTTTTTTTCATTTTTAGTAGTCCATTTTCAATAGCTGATGCGATAAAACTGGCAATCGCGTCCCCGACTATTTTCGTATGAGCTACGGAGTTATAGTAGTTATCAAAAGAACCCACCGGCCAACCAATGCCGATTAGATTTACTCTTTGTGGTTTACTAAAATAGGCTAAAGATATTTTTAGTTAGATTAATTTATAACAATTTTGTGTTATAGGCTTTGGCCGAAACAGTCACCCAAACCAGTCAATAAGTTAACTTAAGTTAACTTACAATTGTTCAAAAATAACATGCTTGAATAATATACTTACCACGTTTGAAGTCTTTTAAAAACCATGGTCCCGATACCCAACCATGGATCAAAACTATGCACTCAATTTCAACATTAAAATTTATTTCTTCAAGTTTCTGGGATTCATTGTATTTTAATTTATGTGTACTATGTTCGCTTTGTATTATGTAGAAGTTAACATTATCTTTGGAAAATTTACTGCCAAATGCAATCACTCCAAAAAAACAAAACGATCAAAATAGTTAGCTTCATGATTTAAGGTGAAATTACAACGAGTTACTTTAGTGGTTTATAGATGACTGACTATTATTCAATTCCTTGCGATTTTATTTCTAGTTCATTTTGAGTGTTGCGTTGTGTGTATTTTTTCTCTTTGCCTGCTTCATTAAATTCAATTCGTTTTGTATTAATCGGATGATTACTGACATATGCATACAAGTTCTTATGAATATTTGATTATTTTGCGATGACTCCCGACTGCTAAAATTGATAGTGAATTGAAAGCCAATACAGTGTCTGTTTCTAATCAATATTTATTTAATTTTTGCCGACGTTTCGATTCCAATTAGAGTTTTTTCTTTGACTTACCAATGAACTCCTCACCTCTTTTGTCTACAATCTGTAGTGGGCAGATTTGCATTTCATTTTTAAATTGGTAGACTATTTTTTTTTCACTCACTCAAAGCGTTTTAAGATCTTTTGTTTACATTTTGAAAGCTTAGTAGTTTTACTTTGAATGCATGAACATATGAAAATACATTGGAACACTCAAAACGATTCCAACAACAAAATACATGGTAAGCATGTTCGTTGCCATATGAATTTACATGCTCGAAACGAACATATGAAAATATGATAGCAGAAACGCATGTATACCAACTTTTTTCATATAATTTTTCAAATCAAATGCCACTATGAATCGAAATGGTCCTTTCAACGTGCTTAAATATGATTGAATACGGTCCGAAGTCGTCTCATAACAAAGAATATACTTTGGATTGGGTCGCCATAACGGATTTGCTGGATCATATACACTAATGACAGCTCCATGACAATGTAAAATGACTACCAAATTCCCATTATTGCTGAGAAGACGAACAAGCAGTTGCGCATTATTTATACTAAAAACAAGCAGTCCAAATACGACGATTGTGTGACTATCTCCTGTTACTGCACATTCATTTGGATCAAGGACAGCAGCACGATCCCTATTTGTCGAAACACAAAATGAAAATCACTTTATTACGTAATCGGAAAATTGTCTATTTTGGGTGAATTAAAAAAATGCTAGAAAATTTCATATTGCACCTTGATTGTTGATTGCTATGCATGCTACTACTTTAACCTTCCATTCCTTTTTCGGCGGTGATGTAGTTAAATGAAGTTTACGATACAATTCTTACTAGAGAAATTTGAATTTAAATTTCAAGCACTTATGACGTCGTGAAAATGATTGATGTCCAAATGACCGTGTCGAAAGACAAACTACGATTGGAACTCATAGATACAAGAATATTTATTTCATTTCAAAAATGACATTGCATTGACGAAATAGGTGGGGAAAGATATTTTCAAAATGTAAAGTGCATTTTTGATAACAAATTACATACGTGACTATCTGCATTCTGGACTATCGCATTCTGTATGAACTCTGGCCGATAGTGGAACAAAAGAAACTAGTTTCCTTTGTTTCCAAAAATCTGAGCAAATTAGGCAATTGCGACGTTCGACATGTGAATCTCACTGGTTTATGGATGGCACCAATGTACGTACATGCACTCGGAAAGCGGCTTGTGATGTTTACAGACGAAAATATGGCAAGGGAAGATTGTGTATAGTAGATGATCTCAGGTATTTAGTGAATACATTCTGAACATTTTTCAAAATACTAAAACATATATGTTGTAGTCCCTCCTATGTTCCACCACGAAATATCAACGTGTATGAGCCCGGTAAAGCATTGAAGATTTTGAGGAATTTTTGGCGTCCAAAAACGTACGATTACCCATCCACCTTTGTATTTCTCCTTGAGAGTAATGTGGCAGAGTATTGTTCAAAGACATTGAGACAGTTTATGTTGGCTTGTCCACCTAAGTTTTTATTCAAAGAAATACGAAATTCATTCATAAACGTGGAGCATATCAGTTTAGACCAATATAGAGCACCCATTTCTGAATTTCCATTCAGTTCAACTTTTCCAAATCTGAAGTCGCTGGAATTGCAGTTGGTTTGGAACGGACCCACACCCATTGCCTTCCCATCTGTAAAAAAAACTGTGTATTGATGCATGGAAAAGTAAAAAAAAATGAAAACAAAGGATTACATTTTAAAGCAAACGAAATTAACGAATTGCTGAGACTCAATCCACAATTAGAAGAGTTGGAACTATATAACGGCATCAGCGATACTATTTTTCAGGATATCATCCTGCCAAAGCTCAAACGCTTCTCACCACGAGTGAGATATTATCCAAATATTAAAAATGCTGATCGATATCATTTCGAAAATGTTATTGACTTCCGTTTTGATATCTTCCATGACGGTAAAATAACAAACATTCCATTCACCTTTAGCAAACTAGAACGCTTTGAATGTTCGTGTATCGACGATGGTGCAATCGAGTCATATATTTCATTGATGAGAATATTCACTTGAAATCAATTATACTGACCGGAGTAAGAGATGGAATTGATAGTTTATTTCAACAAGTGTCTGTGTTGACCTGTTTCATCTTCAAATTTCGATCTTATTCCCAATTTATTTTAACAGAATCAATCTTTCAAGAAGTTTATTTTGTGGGGGTCGCAAAGGTACTTGGAAAACTGAATCAGCGAAACGGATTCAGCGAAATCAAAAAATTTTAAGCAAGAAACGGAATTGTGCTGCTTTGTGGGGATATGGTACAACCACATTAACGTGGACACAACCATGAACATTGGTGACATTACTATGAAAATGGTTGCGTTTGCTTTTAAATTTTACAATAATAAATGTGACTTCTTGAATTGAAAATCTATTATGTGCATTTTTCTTTCTGTATTTTATCCCTTGCTAGCATTGCAATAATCGTTGGTTCCGATATCATTGAGCCCAACAAAGCCCGGATTGTGGAATTTTCTGCCAATTGTTCGTGATGGTTTCGCTGTTAAATGTTGGATTCAATAAGTTCGAAGGATCAGATTTGAATTTTTTCAACTAAGTTTCTCTAGCATCAAATGATGTTGGTGTTACATTGATATCAGCGCTCATTGTTATAACCGTTGAAATTTCACTTATGTATACGTGCATTGGATCAATTTGCTCATGACATTTGCCAAGCGCTTCAGACGCTGTTTCATTAACATAATAAACACAGCTTCAGCTACTGCTAGCGACAGAGTATTTGTCTGCTTAAAGAACACTGCAAATGAGTAGATTGATTGAACGATTTTAATACGTAGAGTCTACAACTTACATTGGCGAGTTGCGTCCTACTTTAAAACGAAGTCATTCATTTGGCGGTAAAATTTCACATTCAAATATACACTCAAAAACTAAACACATACATGCGCATTGCGCATACCCTTCAAACTGTATCATTTACTAACACATACAAAGCATAGAATATGCCAATGAAATGTCAAAAAATGAATCGAGTGTTTTTCTAAAAAGGACGCTGCATGTATTGAGTGATTTATTTTCTTTGCTTCGTGAAATTATTTGTATATTATTTGATCTTCGTAAGCTCGGTAACAAGCATGAAAAATGGGAACTACTGAAACACTTCAAAACACAAGTGCAGAAGATTCCGAAGCATTGAATCTCACAACCATTGATGAAGACAGCAGGATTTTGATTTTCGAATTTTTAGAATGGGATGACCTCGCCCGAGTGGCCGATACGAGTAAAAAACTATATACCGCTGCTTGTGATGTGTACAAAAGGAAATATGGCAAAGTAACATTAATCACTACACCAAGATATGAGACAGAGTACGTAGAATAAATAATAGATTTCGAGTATTTTTTTTAAATGAATTAATAATGTTTTTATTTATATTCCAATTTTGGGTTCAGTAATTCATTTACGGGAACACGCATATATCGGAACCGAATTTATCTGTGGGATCCCGTTATATCATTGAAAGTTGTCAGAAATTTCGGACACATCACCTCACACATAGCCGTTGGCTGTAGATTGCCTAAGGACGGCAAGAAGACTGCCTTCGTATCTTTTCTGATGAGTTCTTTGGAGAAATATTGCTCAAAATCCTTGAGAGAATTAACAGATCGTACAAATAATCTATTATTTCTCAAAGAAATACGAAATCCATTCATAAATGTAGAAAAGATCTTTTGTACTTGGGTCAGCTTTTCTACGAGTGAAATTCCATTCAATACATTATTTCCGAATTTGAAATCACTGGATGTTGCATGGATCTCTGGTTCTACGAGTGAAATGCCATTCTGTACATTATTTCCGAATCTGGAATCTTTGAAAACGAGTATATCTAATAAGGTTGCCGTACGTATTGCGTCCCCATCTATGAAACATTTGTGTATTACTACTCCCATGTTTCATGAAGAAAACATTGTTTACGAACTGCTGAAACTCAACCCACAACTAGAGAAGTTAGAAATTGATTTTAAAAATATTTTTCGCCATATCATGTTTTCTCGGGATGTCAATCTGCCAAAACTTAAAGACCTATTCTTAAGAACGTATTTCAAAACTTATAACGTTCAGCGATATCATTTTGACAATGTTACTAATTTCCATTTGGTAGTAAATTCCGACCTTGCATACGTTCCATTCACCTTTAACAAACTTGAACGCTTTCAGTTCACTTCGTATTATTTCTCTAAAAGTGACACCATACCATCGCATATTTTTGATTTTATAACCGAAAATAAACACTTGAAATCAATCACAGTATCTAGATTAGAATGTGGAGTAACTGAATTATTTCAATTATGCTCTGTGTTGACAAACATTGAAGAATTGTATGTTGAAGTGAGGAGACCTTTGCCATCATCAATTTCGGAACTCATTCGTAATTTATTTTCAAAGAATCATTCTTTCAAGAATTTAACTTTGGAAGGGCCAAAACTACACTATGGATTGGAAGACTTAGATGATTTTATTAAGTCAAAAATTTCCAAGCGAGAAGAATATTTTTCATATTCATGCTTTAAAATCAAACTGACATTGAATCCATGAACGATGCAATTTCTATGAATTAGCAGAGATTGCATATTTGCTGCTATTCAGGCATGAGCTGAGCTGAATTTGCTAACTGAGGCGACTGAAGCGGTATTTAACCGCACTTACGGTGCAAAATTGTCATGGAATGATAAAAATTGATAAACATTCCAAAATTCTATGACAATTTTGTATCGTAAAAGCGTAAAAATACCGATTCAGGCGCCTGAGTTGGCAAATTCAGCTCAGCTCATGCCTAAATAGCAGCAAATATGCAATCTCTGTGAATTAGTACATATTGATGTATTCATTTTCTCAATAAATTACTGAAATGAAGAATAAATTTGCTCTTTTTTTTATTTTTAATCTATTCGGTGTATGTTCGTTATGAAATTATTCGATTTCTTCGCCGGAGGTTTGGCAACTGAACATAAAGTTCATAAATTACTTCAAAATCGTTGATCTGGCGGAACAAGATGAGATTTTCGTTCGAAAAACTCACGATTACCTGAGTACAAATGACCAACTCAATGAGAAAAATGACTAGAATGACGTTTGGTTTGGCGCCATCTGCAAGGTGGAAGTATTTTGCAATACAAATACGTTCTATTGTTGCTGTCATTGGTTGCTGTCATTGATATTTGGCAGTATATTTATAAAGAAGTTTCATAGTTCAGCGTGTACCGTCAATATGTCGCTTAAATATAGCATAAACATGTGCTTCACATAAAAACACAGGCAAATTTTATCATTGACCAACTAAATGTGAAAATCGGAACGATTCATAATGTTGGACTACAAGATTTCACACTAACCGATGATACATATGACATGATTTGGTGCCAATGGGTGCTGGGCCATTTATCCGATGAAGATTTGGGCGCATTTTTCAAACGATGCACGGCTGAGCTCACAAAAAACGGTTGCATTATTATCAAAGAGAATTTCACATCAACCGATGATTTTTGCATCGATGCAACGGATTCATCGGTAACACGATCGCTT